GTTTTGTTAAAAACACCATTTTTAATTACCAGGATAGTACACCAATGACAGCCCCTTGTCCAGAAAAGGTTAGATGTTGCATTATTTTCAATATGTATTTGTAAATATATGCCAAATAGATTGCAATCGCTTTCTGGACTTCCTTTAAATTTGCAGGTAAATGCTGCAATAGATATATAGCTCCCATCAGATTGATGATCACCCAAAAATGTTATTCATTGAATTCACTGTGAATCCTTTCTTAGTAAGTGCATTCAAGCCAGCCTACTACTAGCTGGTAGCCTCTCTGTCCATTCACCAAATTATCTGGGACAGGGGTGTCAGAGTGACATCGAAAATGTCAAGGTAATAGCCATGACTATGAAATTAAAAGCCCATTTATTATTTTATTTGCATCACATAAAAACCAAGATGGTTCCCATCTTGAATTTTTCTAAATACATCCTACATACAACCATGATGCAGGAGTTTTCATTCAGCAACTTTGGAGAATCACATTGACTCATACTGGCATCAATTGCTTCCTTTACATTAACTGGAGAGGGGAAAGGAAGAGAGTTGACATTTAGTCTATCTATAGATAAGCCAAAATCAATATGCTGGCTTAGTGGGAAAACAGCAGACTTTTAGCAATTCAGAGAACTGGCAACAGGCAACACCATTAGCATCATTAAAAGAAAAAAGAAAAAGGAACCGGTGACTTGAGCCAAGTCAACATCTGGAAATCTTATCCCAGTCATATCCAACCTAGCTTATTTTTTGAGATCACCTCAAGCTGCTTGGGTACCACCAAGTATCATGCAGTGCTTGCAAATTTTCTTGGGATATTCAATAATGTTGACAAAATTTTGCTACACAATCCAATCCAGGCTGGGAATTGTTATCATTCAACCAAATATTAAAGCCCCTCAGAACTTCTTGTCATAGTGTTCACGCTGCCTTACCTAGTTCATTTTAATATGATGCTGAATTGTTTTGTTTTGGATTACGGTAAGCAAGGTTAGTAAGCGATTTCTGTTAGATAAGCGAGTTGCACCCATTCTTAAGACCTTTTTGCCATGGATGTTCAGTGAATCACTGCAATTGTTAAGTGAATCACACAGAGTCATTAAACCAGTCTAGATTCCCCTATTGACTTTGCTTGTCGACTGGGAAGATTTGCAAATGGTGCTCACAAAATCCCAAAAGCCGCAGCCTTTGTAAATACCTGCCAGTTGCCAAGTGCACAAATTTTGATCACGTGACGGTCACAAGTGTGACCGTCCTCAGTCATTTTTCCCATGTGGTTGTAACTTTGAATGCTTGCTAAATGAAAAATTGTAAGCCAAAGACTACACCAGTATCCTTATCACTCAGTTTGATGAGGGACTTTTTTTTCAAAGGAAGAAAAAAAATCTGAAGCATCTTTTTATAAAAGAGAATGGTTTGGCATTTTAGCAGCATCCTTTCACTATACAATCATCCTGCCAAAGGCCTGCAGCCTCTTTGTCTCCCTTCTCACCAATTTAATTCAGCTTTGACTGAAACCAATGCAGGGATAAATATATAAAAAAATAACACCACCACTCTTTTCCACTTTCCAACAATAAACTTAAAATAGGCAGCAAAATAAGTTCTCAAGAAATTTGGAGGTAGCCCAATGAGCAGAGCAAAACCTCTTTTTCAGGGCTTGCAATTTCTCAAGCAGCTGAAATATTGATAAACGGCTCTGCTACTGCTCTCCTGTATAGTTTGTTATTTTTCTCAAACCATATTAAATATGTAATTATTGACAGAATTTCTTAACTGTCTCTAAAGGCTCCTGGGAAAAATGAAAATTTAAAATGAAGTCTCATTTTAATTTCATAAAACAAAAAGAAAGAAAGAACTGTAACACCTTCAAAATCAATACGGCTAATCCATTAGAATAATGTAAAGCAGAGGAATGCATACAATTCAAAACCCCTCTTCATAATTCTTAAATAAAGATCTACTGCCTCTTGTGCAGTGCTGACAGACCATTTTAGGATGACTTGATATTTTAAGGCAGCCATAATAAAGGTAACAAGCAAGAGCATTCCCCTTCAAAAGATTCCTGTCAGATTTATCATTTTGACATTAATTCCTGACAGTTATTCAGAATTTTTATTGAATGTATTATATTGGAAGAACATGAAGTATTGGCTTTGTAGGTAGGATAAGGAACTCAAGAAGGAACTTCACTGGTACTTTTCAAGTGTAGGTGTGCATCAAGACCATTTATTCTCACATTTAAAAAACAAATGTTGGACCCAATAAACTAAGAAGGAATCTTCTTGGACCCAATCGGAATTATTACATTATTTGATCTCTTAGTTGTCCTGCTTTAGGAGAAGACCTGAGCAACTTCAGATTTTTTTTTAAATTTGTAAATTGATTTATAGTGTGGTCTTCAATATTTTTCAAATGTTTTGATAAATTTTGGCAGCGTGATTGCCAAAAAATGGCCAGGACAAGGCTATTTGAAGCAGGAAACCTGAAAACATTGGGTGGCTATATAAATTTAAGAAAATAAGAAAATAAATAAATAAATAAGAATATAAATATAAATAATAAAATAATGTATAATATTTATTATACAAATAAAATAAATAAGACAAAAATGGAAAACAAAGGCCTAGTTATACCTCACCCCACCTACATGAGTTCAGTTCCTAATTACCTAAAAGTATTCCAGATAGATAGATGATAGATAGATAGATAGATAGATAGATAGATGATAGATAGATAGATAGATAGATAGATAGATG